ATATTTCTAAATAATTATTTTTTTTATAGATCGGGTTGTATATTAATAAATTATTATTTTTCAGAAAATACTAATATTTAAGTTGTTGGGATAAATTTTTTTTGTTAAAATAATATTACAAAAATTTAACTTTTTTATTTTTCATAAATTAATTATGAATTGCACCCAAACCACTCTAAAAAGAGAAAATATTTCTTCAAATGTGAATGCCAATCCTACCCTCAATCTCTTCTACATATATCGCCAACTCATTTAGAATTTTATTCAATAAATAAATATAAAAAACTTTGAGTATTATTTATATAAGCGAAAGATGGTATGGTAAAGGAAGTCATGGTGAGAAGCATAACAAGAGATCTGAGTTTTTGATCATTTTTAATCTTATGTCTATCCGTAAATTGTGTTTTGGATTGGAATTGATCCTGTGCATCTTGGTGCACTTCATTAATGTTGACATTTGATTAGGATTGATCCAAGGTTGAAGATCTTTTCTTACGCTTTTCATCATAAAATTTTATTCTCACCAAAACCCAACCCTATTTATACATTAGAAGATTATGTTAAAGATTTAATACTAAAGATCTAATTGAGTTTTATTAGAGCATCTTCAACAATTTCTCAAAAATATATAAAAAAAAATGTGAGTTTTTGTTCTTTAAAATGCCCTAACAGTTTTATTATCTTGTTCTTTAAAATAAAGAATCATGAAGAAAACTTTAAATATAGAGAATTCTCTGAAACTTGATATTAAAAAGAGAGAACTGATGATTTTATTCAACTCCACACACAACACACACACACACACACACACACACATATATATATATATATATATATATATATATTCAAAAATGTGTTGGAATGATAAATTAGAGAATATTATAATAATATAATCTATGTTAAGATCTCAATAGAGATGAATACAATTCTTTAAAAAAATTATGTTTTAATTTTTTATTTAAAACAATTATAAAAAAACCGTTAAGGATGCTATTATAAAATTGAATGAACTTGATCTAATATTAAAGATATCAATTATGTAGTATTAAATAAATGATTGAATTTTATAATTATCGTACTAGATATTTAATTTGGAAATGATTGAATTTTATACTTACAAAATTACCGAAAATACCCTTATATATCAAGGGGGTGTTTGAGATTGCTTATAAAAATAACTTATTGACTTATTGCGGTGTGACACCGGTAATAACACTTTTGAGTGTTTTGATAAACAACTTATACCGATGTCAAACCGGTAATAAGGATTTTTTGAAAAAATTAAACTTTTCTGACTTATAATAAGTTGATAAGTGTTTTTATAGAAAAATATAAGTTGTTTCAAATAAGCAATCCCAAACACCCATTAAAACTCGTTAACTCTACCAAAAAATTTAAATTTTGCGAAATTCGACAAATCAGAAATACTAAAAAAAATTACGCATAAACATATTAATATTTTAAAAATTCAATAAATATACAATCTATTTTTGAACCAATAATGAGTATATATAAAATAATCAATCACTTATTGGTCGACAAACAAACGAGTTAATAAACAACTACTGTAATTAATTTAACTTTCTTTAAAACCGTAATTTATAATCTTGAACATCTTATAAAAAGAAAACAATATTCTTGAAAAAACTTTTTATTTTCTTTTAGCTATCTGTTTCAAAGACGGAGATACCAATACTCGGCCCGTTGCCATTCCTAACAGTATTCTTGAAAAAAAAGAGAGAGAGAGAGAAAATGTTAGGAGTGGCATCAAATCATGGTGTGTGTAGTGTTGGGGGGTGAAAGTGGGAATGTCTATTCCTTGGTGGGAGTTTCTCCAATCACTGTGGAAAAAGTTGGTATTTTCTTTTGCTTTCTCAACTAAAGATTCAATAATGGAAGACATAAGAGAAAGGTAGTGGCCAACTCACCCTTGGACTTAACCATATATGGGAACCTATGTTAAGTCTACTTGGGGAACCTTGTTCCTTTTCTTGGTTTTTCACACATCTTTATGAAATCCACACAACCCTACATCCCCATGTTATAGGCATATATGCCTTTTACAACTCAGGTTTTGTGTCCATGGGCTTTGGTCCATACCTCAATTCAAGATCTCACCTTTTTCATTTTCCCTGTCTAAACTATACTGATTCATATAAAAAGTTTTCAACACGACTTGGGTTAATACGATTCTTGAAGTTGGTAAGTTTTGGTACTGAAACGAGATCCGTATGTTGTGTTGTTGATAGTGATGCAAACTTGCGTAGAGAGGTATAATGATCTTGGATTTTAAAGGGAATATGAAAAGTAAAAAAATGTGAAAAGGTGTCATGTCTGGTTTCGGTTTTGCTTGCCATTTGGTGAATCTTTGAGCCTTCGAAAAGACATGACCGCTGTTAGGAGCATGGGCTTCTGGAGATCTTTAAGTGTTGGTCTTTTGAGGGGTTTCTAAGAAACGTTAGCTTGTGGTGTGACGGGTCCACCATGCTCTTTTAAAAGGTTTGATATATGTGCTTTAGAAACGTGCTTTTAAGAAGGATTTGACAACCGTTGCTACCGTTGCCATTGTTTTTCTTTTTGCCTTAAAGGCATTAATTTTGCACTATAAAATGATGGAATCTAATTCAAAAGGTCAAAAGTTAGAAAAGTTGATGCTTTAATTGTAATAGTACCATCAATCAACACAAACACAACTCAATGAAAAAGGACACCAAATAGTCGAGCCTAAATGTTTAATGGGCTTGGGCTTTCAACAAACTTGTAAAAGCCTATTTATTTATTAAATCTATAAAACCCTTTGACGGTTATTAAACATGGGCTTCTAAAGGGTTTAAAAGCCCATAGATAACGGTCAATTCGTCTTTTAATTAAAGTCTAATATAAATATTGTTGTAAATGTCTCTTTGAAATTAAATATGTAGATACACTTAGGGGCCATTTATCCAAACACTTATTTGATAAGCGTTTACCGGTTAAATTCAACATTATCATTTACCTTATCAGGTAAGATTTTAGTCCATTAAAACGGCATTGTATGCAAAAACTTATCCGGTAAGTGTTAAACGGATAAGAGCCATCGTTCTCAATTACAGGGTAAGACTCTCGGTCATTGCCTTCGCTCTTATCGGGTAAGTTTCTAATCCTTGCCATATTAATTGGTTAAAGTAATACAACTTGGTAAGTGCTTATCCGAATAAGCGTTTGGTAAACGGCACCTTAATGCTCTATTTCATTGGTTAAAAGATATCTTGAATTTTATGGGTTTGTTTGTTTTTTTAAATTATCTTTTTAATACCTTTGAAATCTGATTCATTCAGACGTTTGGGTATTAAGATTGTTTGTTTTATTTTTAAAATAAGAGCTTAAAAGCTCTAAATGTCATTTGAAATTTTAAGTGGTAAATTTATCATTTAATACCTCTTAATCCTAATTCGCTCTCTATCATATGGTTCATATTTTGGGAGCCGGAAGAGATTTGTTAGCAAAAATTATTCATCATTTATACTTTTATAAAAAAACTATTTATTTTTTATATTTTTGCACTACTTTAACCGATTCAGATTTCAGACTTCAATCGTAAAAATAAACAATATCACTGATCCAAATTTCAAACTTCAGGACCACATTTTATAAATTATATATCACAATTCCTTTTATAGTTGTTTCTATTATTTTATTAATTTATTTTCTTATTTAAATAACATTCACGTTTGAACCTTTTATATAAAAATTTGTTATAAATTTTCTAATATTCATAAGTTTTAAAATATAATAAAAATTAAAATACGAAATTTTCGTTTAATCATAAAAATACCAAAATTAGTTTTTAAAACTTGGTCAAACCTTGAATCAATGAAATGGGTTGACCCAAACCTATAATTTAATCGGATTGGTGCCATTTGGTTACCATAATCAATAATCTATTGAGAGGAAATAATGATGTCCATATGCACCTCTTATAATCAATGGCATCATACACACCAATAAATTAAACATTATCATATAATAAATTTGTAAATATATATTAAAAAAAACCCATAATATATAACTATTTAAATACCGATTTTCAAACCCTTTTAAAAAAAACTAACGAACAACATTCAATGGTTAAAATTTTGTTATATAACGTATTTGTTTTGAAACCGCAACAAGCTTTATATTTTCAGTGTAAGATTTAAATGGGTCAACAACTTATTTTGTCGTTTTCAAAGCCATTACAAGTTATTATCTTCATTAAATGTTATGATCTTATATATTAAATCTGATTGGTTTTTATCAGTATAATTTATGATATGTTTTGAATCTTATTGACTTATCATAAACAAAATGAATTAGAACATAGTGAGTTTGAAATTTGAAAGATGTAACGCCAAAACAAAGCAAAAAAGGTGCTTCTCGAAATGAAAAAAGAAAAAGCAAAAAATAATTAATAATGTGGGCACAATATGCAAAAAGTGGAAATGAGGGGGGTAAATTTGAAAACATTAGACACCATCATGAGATGCGGTGGGTCAAGTAGTAAGTGATCATTATTCACTCCCCATGAACGGCAAGTCTCCATTCATTACAATTTTAATCACTTCAACCTTCTTTTGTCTTGCGTAACATTGTATCACTGATCTTGTCCGAAAATCTACGGTTATAAATCAAGTTGTAAAACTATATTATAGTTTTTTATTATGTAAAATGTTTGGGATTGATTATAAAAACTGTTTTTAACTTATTTCAGTGTAACACCGATAATAAACTATTTTTTGGTGTTTAGATAAAAAAATAAAAACTGCTTATACCGATGTCAAACCTATAATAAACTGTTTTTAATAAGTTAATCATTATTGACTTATAAAAAACAGGTTGTTATTGGTTTACAATTTTAAGCGCAAACCTTCCTTCACGTCTTCAGCTTCTGCTTTACAAAAGAAAGCATGGAGAATCCATTTAGTAATAAATAATCACATTTGACGAACTCCAATACCAATTTCAAATTCTCTTGCTCTGCCATGGAACCCTCTGACATCGAAGCTGTACTGAACTTCTTCAGGAAAAACCATCTTTCAGTCTCTGAATCAGCACTCATCCACGATATTCTCGACAAATCCCAACTGGGTTCTTCGGATTTCCATAATTTTCTATTCCCACCACCTCTTTCACCTCTAAAGATTCCCGGCCGTCCTCCGCCGCCGCCGGAAGATCTTGAAACCTCCGACGATTCTTCTGATCAGGAGTTCGTCAGCTTGGGTTCTTCCACCACCGATTTATGCTCTTCAGGTACCCCTCCAGTCGCTGACTTCTTTTCATAGAAAACCAATTGGTTATGAGATAGATGATCGTCGATAAGAAATGTTTGTCTCTTGGGGATTGCTTTATTCCTTTTGATTCCATTGTTAATTCAGTAATTTCTGGTTGGATTTTGTTTGACTATGCTTTTAGGATTTAGGACAACACATCTATCTTCTTTGTCTTTATACTCTTTAATTTATAGTATTCCATAACTTTAGGATTCTTGTTTGTTTTCTTTCTTTCAATGCAAGTTTCATCAAGATCAATTCTTGGTTTCTTGACTTCAAATTCCATATTTGGCTGACAAAGTGGTCAAATCGACATGTACATTCAGACATTTAGACATTTTTGACGTTGTATGAAGCTAAATTCGTTGTAGTGACACCAAAACCTGACCATGGTGCACCCTTGTGATTTCTATAGATTTGACAAACCCATATGGGCTCAAGACTTTGATAAGGGCTAGCTCTCATGCTTCATCAGATCTGTTGTCTCAATTTGGCACGGCTCGTGATTACCATGAGTTCGACATGCAAAACGACTTATGCTGGTACAGCCAGAAAGACGAAGACTATGCCATGCCATCTTGCTTTCACAGCTCAGATCCTTTGGGTGGTCCAACGGAGGACAAATTCGTAATGACTTTAGAGAAAGAGAACCAAATCGATGATCGAATATTAGACTCGTTAGAGAAAACTAACAGTCTTGATAAAGCCTGCGACTTAATAAAGTCTGCAACCTTATGTAGCTCTCTAGAAGGTATCGATTTGAATGGTTTTCATGATATCGATATTGGGATCAGATCCAAGAATGGTGTTTCCTGTTTCGAAGAGAATGATAGAAGTTCTAACGACTATCTTATTGGGGATTCTAAAATGATCCATGAGAAAGATCTTGAATTTAACATAAATGGTGATTATGATGCTGCTAAAGTTGAAGAAACCGATGCCATTGATACTAATGATGAGTCTTTAATGAATGCAAATGGAGACGAATATGAAATATTCAATTTAAGAATCATTCACAGGAAAAACAGGACTGGTTTTGAAGAGAATAAGGATCTACCGATTGTTCTAAACAGCGTGATCGGCTCCAGATATGTTGTTGCAGAATATCTTGGTTCAGCTGCATTCAGCAAAGTCGTGCAGGCCCGCGATCTCCAGACGGGAATTGATGTTTGTTTAAAGATCATAAAGAATGATAAAGATTTCTTTGATCAAAGTCTAGATGAAATCAAGCTTTTGAAGCTTGTGAACAAGCATGATCCTGCTGATGAGCACCATATTTTACGGCTTTATGATTATTTCTACTTTCAGGTGAGTAATTACAAGTAATTCGATGCAATTCGCATTATGTTTTCATTGATTAATTGAAAGTTTTCTTGAAATTTTGGCAGGAACATCTGTTTATCGTTAGTGAACTACTACGTGCCAACTTATATGAGTTTCAAAAATACAATCGAGAATCCGGTGGGGAACCTTATTTTACGTTGACCAGGCTACAGGTTCGTTTGGTCGGTATGACCACTAAACAAAATCCGCTTCATAGGATGCTAGATATGTCTAGATGTTCTTGGACTATACAATTATGTGTCCCATGTGAAGCTGATACAGTAAGTTGATAGTTTTTTTGACGTTCTAACAAGTTTATAGTAAAATAAGATGCCATAAATCGTTCTATCAACTTATTGGAATACTTTTATGTTATACCCACAATTGTTTATTCCCATAAACCTAAGTCAGTTTATCAGGATATTTAGATATATTTGACGTCTTATAAAGCTGGTTCTGTTGTAGTGAATCAACATTCATCACAATTCGTTTCTTGAACATGAAATCATCTTACGGAAACTCGAAATCAGGTCATAACAAGACAATGTTTGGAAGCTTTGGATTATTTACATGGGCTGGGAATCATTCATTGTGATCTAAAACCCGAAAACATTCTTATCAAAAGCTATAGCAGATGCGAGATCAAGGTTATCGATCTTGGAAGCAGCTGCTTTCAAAACGACAAATTGTCACTATATGTGCAATCTCGATCTTATCGGGCTCCTGAAGTTATCATCGGTCTTCCATACAACCCGAAAGTTGATCTTTGGTCTCTTGGTTGCATCTTAGCCGAATTATCATCTGGTGATGTATGTTCTTCGCTGAAAGCTTCAATCTTTCACCGTTATTAACATCTTTATATATTGAATCTTTTCCTAGTTTTTTCAAAATTTGTCGGGTTTTTTTGCAACCCCACCAGGTTCTATTTCCAAATGACGATCTTGTGTTCTTGCTTGCACGAGTGATCGGAATGCTCGGGCCAATTGATACCGATATGCTTATGAGGGGCCAAGAAACAAGCAAGTATTTCACAGATGAGTACGATCTTTATCGCATAAACCAGGTTCGGTTTTTATGTAATCATAGCTCACAAGAAAGTCCATACTTGTAGTACTCCCGCAGTGTGTTTTGTGTGCTTGAACAGTACAAAAACTTCTTGTTCAAGTTTGATTCGATATTAAACCGGGAGAGGGCAGGACTTGAGTGGGACAAAATCAAAAATAGGTGGAACAAAAATCAGAAAGATGATACTAGATTGTTAAATTACTACACTATCCAGTACCCATGCCAAATTAAAATTCTAAAATCTTCCAGATTGTCTAGTCCAGTCCCATCCGCTTACCAAATGTCCCCAAATGTCTAATAGGGTTATTTGAACCCTTTTTGGGTCAAATTGAAATTTGCAAATATAAAACCTTCCACAATTATTTCATGAATTCATATTTGTCTGATTCTGATGCATCCAGGAAACGAATCAACTCGAATACATATTCCCACAAGAAACATCATTAGAGGAACACGTACAAGTTTCTGATACACTATTCATCGATTTCCTTAGGGAGTTACTTGAGATCAACCCAAGAAGGCGGCCAACGGCTAGAGAAGCCTTGCAACACCCGTGGCTCTCGTTCCCATACGAAACATGAGTATGAATCCTAACCCAAAAGGTCCAGCAGGGTGTTGCTTTTTGAACCCCGACCTTTTGTGCTAAATTCGAAATTTTGAAATATGAAAAGGTACATTCGATATTTAATATCGTTACATGTATGAGAAAATTTATCGGGAAAGGTTCAAATACTTGATTGAGGGGGTTTATTTATCATTTTGATTCAACATTCTAACAGGATTACATGTACATTACGATATATACATATTATATATGTCTTTTTTAATCATATCGGTTTCTTTTTCTTAACGGTTTTCTTCGTATAATATACACTGAGACCGTCAAAAGTTAACGGACGTTTGGTATGGGGGTTATAATGGGTTGTCAGTTGGTCTTTAACCTCCATCTGTTTTTTGTATCAGATTCCCCGTGAACTATTGTACGGATACAGCTGTTTAGTTGGTATTCCTACGTAAGTTTTAAATGTCATTTGGCCATTTTTTAAAATAATTTCAAGTTCAGGGACCACAAACGGAATAAACCAAAAAATTGGAAATCATGGTTGACCGATCAACTGGCACAACGTTAGTAGTAGAAATTTTGCGGGTCCCATGGCTTTTGGTGGCGCGTGGACCAAGTGTCGCGTCTTCTTTCCCTTCTTTGATTAATTGGAAAAGACAAATTGCTCATTTTAGCCCCTAAAGTTTGATATGTTGTCAGATACAGTCACCGTTGTTTTATTTTATACAATCAAGTGTTATATTTTGAATCGAATAATGTCCTAAGAGTAAACTAAGCTTTGAAAAGGCCAAGTGTCGATAAACTGCAAGTGACACGTGTAAAGTCACGTACTGAAGTTGAAAAGAAGGTGGTTATACACAAGACATGTCGACAGCTTGTGAAGATTATGTACTATGGTCACAATTAAGACGAGATTGCAAACGAAATGTAGAAGTTGTGTATGGCTTAAGCGACGTTAAAAACCACTTTCGATAAATCGCTTAGTGGAGTCACGAGTCAGGACTACAACATGTTGAAGTTGCATATGGAAGTCAGCTTGAACCCTTTGTCGGGTGGGTGCTGGACTTTAGTGTAGGAACTAAAGACGTAAAAATAGGTGACCCACATGGTACCAAAAAGTTGACAACTCGTGAATTTTGTTTTCACTTTAATACGTTAACATATATAAATTTTAAATAAATTCACGTGTTTTAAAAAAGTTCACAACTTTAGAATGCCAAATCTCATGGGTTCCATGCCGAAGGGCGAAAACGATAAACCGACCAGCACGCAAAACAAATGGAAAAGACACTTGTGTCCCTGAACCCCCGATCCCATCTCCACGTCATCTTCAACAGTCCCCGACTTTCATATAGAAGCGCGTGGCGAAGACTCTCCCCATCTTGTTCAATCCTTTTGAGGCGCCATCACCTTGACCACACCTCCCATTCTATTCCATTTTCATATGCATACAAATGCATAAAACGAATCATTGCATACACACAAAACCTATACATATAGACGGCAGGACCCCCTCGATTTCCTCCTAGGTTCAATCTATAAGAAGATTAGGTACTGCATCTGTGTGTGTTTTTTTTTCCGGCAGCCGGTGATGGCGGAGATTGGCCAAGCTGCTACTGATGTTTACGCGCCGACGAAGACCTTACAAGTATGGCGGACACTGTTGAACTGGTTGACTTTCTTCTTTCAGATCTTTCTTCAGATCATTAGAGGCACTCCTTCTGTTGCTTCATTGATCAATTATTCTTCTTCGTCGTCGTTTATGCCTTTGCCTGTCGTTGAATTTCCTGAATCTTCCGAACCGACAGCATTGGCTACAGCTTCCGTTCATATTCCGTCCGTTGTGGCTGATTATGATTGTTTGGAAAAGCTCACGGTACGTTTTAATTTAATTTCAGATATTGTTTGTTTCATTGATTGATATCGTTTTGCAAGGACCGAACTAGGTTTATAGTTAGTTAGTTATGATGGTGATTGTTCATCTCTTTTGTGTTGATGTTTGATTGGATGGATATCGTTAGGTGATTTCGTTTATTTTGTCATGTGAGTGTTCTTCTAAAACTTTTTTGTTCAGAAACATGAAAATTTCTCTCCGGAAGATGTACATTTTCCTACGCTCAGAATATCAAAGTTTTAGTTTTGCTTGAAATTATGGAGTTGGTTGTGTTGCATTGAATATAATCCTGAACAAATAGTAAGCGTTATATGCTTGTAAATGAAAAAAAGGACTAGCTTTAAGAGAATAGTAACTCATGGCAAACGTTCTCCATGGGCAGCAATCCGTCAAAATAGTAAATCATTTCATAAAATGAGCAGAGACTGAAAGGAAAAAAGTTAACTACAATGATTAACCTTGCTTGTATGGTATGATATACACCAATTGATACCCAAATTATGTGTAGCTGAGGGAAATTTAGAATCTGACTGTGTGGCATTAAGGAAAGAGCATACCTACAAAAGGTTTGTTCTTTTCTTCTCCCACCATAACCTTTATTGCTTTTGCTTTTTTATTATTGTATCATCAACTAGGTTGCCTTTGTTCCTTTAGTTATTCTGACTAACTCAAAAGCTTGTTATATACCTCTATGCTTTAATTTTAATTATGTGTATTGCAAACTGTAAGGAGAATGTTTATGTCTCGTGTCCCTTAACATAGTGGAGAAAGCATAAGAAGAAGATTTGACTCTCGGATTATTATCATTCATAAAAACGTCTAAATCCAAACTAATTCAGACTAAAATGATACCTTCAAGGAAATATTAAGAAAGCTATTGGATTATGATTGGAACTGAAGTTCTTTTGTAGAAACTTGGAATTTTTTGTCATTTGTCACAAGAAACAGAATAACAGAGATTAAGCCAGAGATCTTTACAGTTCAAACTTAGTCCACAAGAACGAATGATGTTTCTGGTGTGTTTCAATGGATGCTGAGATTGTTAATTAAACATTTCAAATATGTGGAGAGTCCACAGAAAATATTTCATCATGTCCAGTATCTTAACAAAATGATTGGAACACCACCCAAAATCTCTTTTTAATTCCCACTATATTTGGACAAGATAACGGTTCTTATATAATTGAGAGTAAAGAGGGCTCAAACTTGTAACAGGATTGATAAATATCGAGTGCTTGAATTGTTCTCTTTTACATTTTCAGTCTCAAAATGTTCTCGTAAGGTATAATTGACTTCTAGTATGATAGGTGACAAAGAGAAGTCTGTGTCTTCCATTGTACTTTTTATACTGCATTTGCATTTGATAGTGTGGTAAAAATATGTATAAACTACTTTTTTAAATAAAAAACGGAGTATTTTCCTCATTTATTATTATGTGCTGGTAAGTTCTATTCAACTATTTATAGTATGCGCATGGAGCATTAAGATTATGTCTTCGCTTTATTACTTTATGTAACCATCAATACTGACCCATATAAGGGGTACCTGGAAACAACGTGGTTGATGAGAAAAAAATGGCGGGAGTGTGACGTTGGGCAAGATTGTTCAAATCGGTGTAAATTATCCAGGCATGATCAAATGTAAATTTAGCTTACTCATTATCTGGAACACTGGAATCTTTGTAGCTATAAGTTTTGAGAGAAAGACAGACATGATGGTCTTATAAAGTGCATGGAGATACGTGGTTTGTAATTGTGAATATATGGTTTAAATCATGGTACAAGCATGTATGTTTGTCTTTCTGATTACTTGTAATTTGGAAACACTAGAGCTTGGTTGGTAGAGATTGTGATTAAACAGTTCCTACATAATGTATTCAGAACTAATCAACTATGTACCTACCTTTATAGTTGTCCCATCCTAATATATTCATGTTTCTGTGTCACGAAAGTATTTCTCAAGCTTTGTTGTATTATACGTTGACGATAACCACATCAATACTAAGTGGTAATGCCTCATTCTGCTAAAGCACATATCGGCTTTCCCAGTAGGTATGGCAGTTTAATAACAAATATACAGTTTCAAAAGTGTTCTGTTTAGTTGAATCCTACTTTGCCAAGAGCATGTAAAAGTTTTGTTCTCAAATATCTGACAGTTCAACATTCAATTGTGGCAAAATAAATGCTTTGTTGAATTCGTCTCTATCATAATAGAATTTTTAAACTTCCTGGTGTTACAAAAATATAGATCAGAATTTACAATGTTGCTTCCCATGGTATCAGTTTACTCATCTTCTATTATGATGTCATTAAGAGCCTATGATGCTGAGTCATTCGTGATTACCTTTTTAGGCTGCTGGGTAGAAGAAATATTGGCAAACTAAGATGCCTATTGAAATGTTAGACTTGCCATCAACATTGCTATTTTATAATGAAAGCTAGTAAGAGTCTAGAACAGGCTTAAATTCTGCACTTCACAGTTCACCATCTTAAATTCTGCACTTCACCATGCTGGATGAATAACAAGCATTGAAGCTTTGTTCTTTGGTGTTGATTATTGCTTATCTGCTACCTTGCTTTTTGGATTTCGCTTCATCGACAAGATCTTTATATCTGACAATGGGACATACATCTCTGGGCGCAGGTGGTTCTCGACTTGGATGAAACTCTGGTATGTGCGTATGAGACATCTAGTTTGCCTGAGACTGTTCGCAAACAAGCTACAGAGGCTGGTTTGGCATGGTTTGAGCTGGAATGCATATCTTCTGACAAGGTGAGAATGTTTATCTTCATAAATTAGTTTTAATGTTCTTTATTATTTATTTGATTAACTAATTTAACATGATACCTTAACTTTGGGTTTGAAGGAAATTGAAGGAAAACCCAAAGTCAACTATGTGACAGTATTTGAACGTCCTGGATTGCATGAGTTTCTTGCCCAACTTAGCAAATTTGCTGATCTTGTACTATTTACTGCAGGCCTTGAAGGTTTGCTTACTACTATACTTTTTGCTTGCATATCTGACATTGATCTTCATCATTCTTTTGATTTGCTATTATGGTACCACTCCAGGATATGCTAAACCACTTGTTGACATAATAGATGCTGAAAACAGGTTTAGCCGTAGGCTTTATCGGCCTTCGACAACTTCCACGTGAGTAGTTTTCCTTATATACAACTTATTTATATTCTTTATGATATCTCAGGATTCATCTTGCTCTTTTCTAAGAGGTGCATGTTAGTATGATACTGTCTGGATGTGTCTGAGAATATCTCCTGAGTGGCAACCTCCATTTAGGTCTTTCTTCCATGAGAATTTCACCAAGCACTGGCCGAATTACAGTATTAGAAATGACTTTCTGATTATGTAATCCCCAACTGACCTTATGCTAACTATTGATGCTAAGATTGGAGCTGGCATTTTCAAGGCACAACATGTACTAGGGCTTTATTTTTTCACTTTTTGGAAATTTGAAGTTGCACTATGATTTCTGGAAAGATGTTCCTCATGGTAACTTTGATGTTCAATCCCTTCATTCACAAGTTCCTAAAAACAATAAAAACTTCATTCGAACACATTTATTTTGAAGTGATAATTTCTTCTACATGTATGTTATAGGTTCTATTTTGTATTATTCATTTGTTCTTTACTCAAACATGGGTCAAAAGCAAGATAGTTGAGAGTGACAGAAATCCTATATGGAAGACCATGACTTGTTATCAGATCTTATATCTACTTCAACAACATTATCCCTTCTTCACTTGAGCTCTTCAGTTTATGCATTTGGATGGAGCTGTAAGCATAGTCCAGACTTCAGAAAATTATAATGTCTTGATCTCATTAAAAAAGTAAATATTCCTCATATTTATTTGGATTTTGGGAATTTATATTGCATACGACTGTGCCTCTCAGCCAAGAATAGTGTTTTGTTCTTGAAGTTGCCATTTGTGCAAATGCTGTTACTTCAACATGATGTTCCAAAATCTGTAGCACTTGAGAAATAATGCTACAAATTTGACATTCAAAGAATTTTAGAGCATACGTGAACATTTCTAGGAGATGCATAAGTACTCTCTATATATTGCTTCCTATCACAGCCTTGTAAGGAACCAGATCAAAAGCGTCCCGTGGTTATATATTTCTATGTGTGTGTCAATTTGAAATATTGTATCTAAAAGCAGAGGAAAGATAAAGATAAATATGTGATGAAATGAGTGGCTCTATTTGTAGCACCTCTTGTTTTTCTTAATCTCTTGTATTGTGAATATATATATTTTTTCTTACATTTTAATGGTTAAGAGGTCTGATTTGCAAGGTCATGGGTCTAAACTTCACTCTTGCAGTTGTTGCCCTCAATATGTTGCAAGTTCATTTTGCATTTGGTTTGTCCATTTGCAAGCACGAGGTGTATGGGAGGGGGAGATCGCAATGGGATCATGCTGATGTGTTAATACTGGTGGCCAAATATATCAGGAATACATCACCGTATGAATATGGTTGCTATGTGTTTTAAAGGCGATATGAATTCCCTTCCCATCCAACAAGTATGCTCATGCCCTCCCTGGAGGTTAAAGCAAGCTTCAGATGGAAAATCTAGCATGCGTTACCATCTATAGTGATATTAGTTAATACCAATGCAGTGTCTTTAATGGTGATTCATTTTTTGCATCTCTTATTTCCGATGATACCTCATTTTTATACTCAAGAGGCTCATATTGAGCTCATCTTAAATCCCTTTTTTTTATGACAGGGAATATCGTGAACACGTGAAGGACCTTTCCTTCGTATCAACAGATTTTTGCAGAGTAGTAATTGTTGACAACAATCCATTCAGTTTCCTATTGCAACCAGCCAATGGAATCCCGTGCATACCTTTTTCTGCTGGACAACCACGTGACGACCAGGTACTCATAGCAAAATAGTATAAAACTTCTCTATAAACCATCACTTTTGAGTTAGAGAACCAATCTTATGCCAAAACAAGTGAATCTCTTCATCTAAACTAGTGTGCTAATATGGCAAAAAAAGATAACTTTGAAGCCTAATTTACAACCAAACAAATCCATGAACTCTTGACCAGTGTTTTTTAAATCCATGACCTTCTGAAGTCTTATGTATGGTAGTGACATTCTTCTGTTCTGTTAAGCAAAGACATTCTCAAACATGTCAGAAGGTCATGGATTCAACAAAAACAAGTTAGAAGGCCATTTAACCAAAGGCCCCACTTCTAGATAGGAGGACTGATCCATTGATTAGTTCTAATAGTAGTCTTGAGACTGACTGTGAGTCAACAGCTGACCAGCCATATTATGTGTAAACAATACAGCTTCTTGAGGTCCTCCTTCCCCTTCTGAAGCAACTTTCGGAGCAGAGAGATGTAAGGCAGATCCTATACGAAAGGTTTCACATGCCAGAATGGTTTGAAAAACACGGAATCCCTGCCTCTGCCTGGGCAACAAAAGGGTAAAAAAGCATTTGAAAACAGGCAAGTATGTCTCTGTACCATGGCAACAACATAAATTACAGTCTGTATAGCTAGCTATCTGTGTTGTTGAGTCATTCAGAGATTCTTTTAGTTATTGTTTCCTTGCAACACAGTCATGTTCTTGTTGTAAGTTGGTATATAGTTTGCGACGTGATGGTGGTCTTGTAGGGTTTGTTAATTATCATTCAACTTCTGTAAACCTCTCGTAGATCAATAAATAATCCAGGTTGCTTCATCTACTGTCACGGTGCTGTCTCATAGGCCAAATGCCATTTTGCTTCTCAATATTGTATTAAACCAAATGGTCCCTGGCAAAACCATGATAAATGAGTTGTTGGACCTTGTCCTTGATTCCACTTTTGGTCTGTACAATAACACTTGCATTCTATGTATTATAAATTATCCATTCCAAAAGTGACAAAAAGAAACTTTAGCAGGTAAGTGTAGGTTTTTTATATATAGTCAAAAGTAAAGGATGAGAATGGGGGATTCTGGAGGCAAAACCACAAGTCCAACATTCAATGCTGGACTAGAAACACTTTATAGACAGTGGGACCATTTATGCTTGTGTGATTCAAGTAAAACGTATTTTAGAATCCATTTGCGTCCAACACCAACACCATCATCATTCTCATTTGTGTTGATTCTCGGTTTTAAAATTCATAAACAACCCCACATTTTTTATATCTCAAACTTTGTGCTGTGTCGATTCACATATTTTTCATAGTTCATATAATAACACAACCTCATTTGGGATTATAATGAGCAAGTCTTAGTCATTCAGCCAAAATCAGGTTGATTAACCAAAGATTGAAATTTACAACTTATATTGTCAGTTATCTTAGAATTTGAAAACATACTTCAAAATCTAAAAGAGAAGCTGAAAATGCTAAACAAGAATCGAAGTGAGCAAGTATTGTGCCGAAAATTCTGCATTTCATGTGCAAAAATAATGATTAGGAGGAGAAAAAAGTGTATGTATACAACATGCTTTGTCTTGCATTTGGTAATAATTTTAAATCATACTTATTTTATACCATATCTAGATTTGTATCAAGAATCGTTTATTTTATTTCTATTTATTTATTATTTTTACTCTGAGTTTAATTATATTTTAAGTGTAATAGATTTTCAATATTATCCTTACAAAATAAATACAACCTATTTGGAGGAACCTTCACAGTTTGTTGCAATTAACTTTTAAGACAACAATTTATTAAAACAAAACAACATAGCATTAAAATAAGACCATCCTCCAAACACAACTACGAGATGTAGAACCAAGAGCGGATCAGAAAGGGGAAAACCCATCCAAAAACGAACCACGAAAAAGACCCAAAAGCTATAAAGAACAGACAACGAATGATGAACCCAAACCCGACTCAAAGACTATAGACTTCGAAAGTTACAAGAACAAAGACAAAAGATTTGATTTGACAATCCAAAAACCCCACGAGATGGTTCCCTTTCGTAATCTTCTAATAAATGTACTCAATAAATTTAATACTATAGTTAGGAGCTATTTACCAAGCACTTACCGGATGAATATGATAAAGACCAAAAATCTTACCCGGTAAAACGGAGACAAAGATCGAGAGTCTTACCTGGTAAGTAAGGGCGACGACTCTTACCATGATAAGCGATTACTGAGTAAATTGTTGTATACAATGTCGTTTTGGTAGACTAAAGTTTTACCCAGTAAGTAAGTGGTAGTGTTAAATTTTACCGGTAACGCTTACCGGGTAAGTGTTTGGTAACGGCCCCTTAATTACCTTCAAATTTTATTACAATAACTTTTCTCCCTGCTACAATTTTTGTATTATTTTCTTTCTTCATTTTTCAATAAAAAATTGGTTAATATAGAATATTTTTTTGAATATTTGTTGAGTTATTAAATGTATTAAATATATTAAATTGTAATCAGTATTAATCAAAATAAAATACTATTTCTTTATTTTTAAAAAATATAGAAAATTCATCTCTAGATGTTTTTATTTCATTACCTCACTTGGTTTATTTTTTTCCCCCTCGATTCTATTAATTTTTATTCATATAATATAAAAAATGGAATTAAATAATTATAAAGTTTTAGGAGTCAAAATATATAAAATTGATTAGAAAAAGCTTTAATCATTAAGCCCACCCAATTAATACTTATGAAAATGAAATTGAGTTTTTAAATTAGTTGGGGGTGTTGTGTTGTCCACATATAATCAATTCATTTACTTTATTAATATAATATAATATAATAATATTTATTTTTAATACAAAACATTTATGAGCTATTTGAATTTACATTTTAAATTTAATTATATGATATTTTTAATGATTAGAATCAAATACTAATGAGTTGTGATATATCTTAATGCAATAGTATTTTTTCTATATAAATTCAAGAAAAGGTGAACATAAAAAAGACATGGTTCAGACCAATAATTCATCATCAATGATTTTCAATTCCATAAAGTTGTCACAAAATATTATAAAGCAAAACCAACAGGGTTTATGGTTTAGATGTATATTTGTATACGAAGTTGATTGGTTTGTAGTTACGACTCAAGAAAATAGATTTAATTGAATCAAGAATATTGCTCTAAATAAAAAATCAAACAATGTAATAAAAAAAAACTGTTACAGTTTGTTAACGAAATGAAAAACGTGTTTATTTAAAAATATAAGATCATTCATGTACTTTGACCAGTTGTCCGTTTGTCGTATTTTATTTTTAAGTATATATTAAAATCACAAGAATCATAGAAGCACTTTCCATATATTTCTAATCGCGAACGTTCTTAGAAGCTCAGACATATAAAATTTTGGAATACGACCACTTTCAAGGGCTAATCCGTAATTTCATGCGTCAACCACACCTTCCTTTACATGCACCAAACTAAACGTATGGATGATAAGGAGACAAATACATTTTTATTCACATATGCATCACACCTAACTTTCTATTGTTGTTTTTCATCTATTAATATCTGTATTATCATTAATCATCTATCCAAATATATATAAATATGAAATTAAAAAACACAATAATCAGAAAAGAATTTGTATAATTTCTTTCGTAAGAACATTTTCAACAACTATGATATTATATAAATTTTGGAGATTTGAGAAAATTTAATCCATCAGATAAGGGTGTGAAAAAAACCAATCGATACAATTGGAACCAACCCGACCATAATTATATATTCAATTGTAATTGAATCGGATCGGTTCTTGGATGACAGTCTAGAACTAACTAAAACCGACCGAACCGAACTGACTAATATTCAAGTGTCATCCAATGGATTGATGTCCCATAAATATCCAATGAATGATCCATTGGATTCAATCGGTTCGATTGTCTGATGTTGATCGAATCTGATCGATTGACAAAATCTAATATCTAATGAAATTCAAAAAAATATATTAAAATCTCCTCTTAAAGAAAAGTTCAAATTTAGGAGAAGAAGAAAAAAAAAAAATATATATATATATATATATATATATATATATGTCGAAGATGCAATCTAAGTTCAAAACAACGTAGCTTTGCAACAAAAATGAAAGTCGTCGGAGAGTAAAATAGTAAATGGTCAAAGTATGCAACCTATAACTAAAGTTGCTGCTTACGTGGAAACGAAGCTGCAGTCCGGTGACAGAGCCACACGTGTCATACAGTTATAGCTTTACCTATGTGACAGTTCGTCAAGCTAGCGTCACCCAACTCTATACATTCTTACTGGTAACAGATTTTCTGAAAATATTTATTTCTTTTTTTATTATCAAAATATTCATTTTCATTTATTATCTCTCTCTCTCCTCTCTCTCTTCTCAATCAAAATTCCGTCCAAATCAACCAATGCAAAACATCATCGTCGGCGACTATCAGACCTTCAGATGACAACATTATCGGCCGCCGCCGTCATCTTTGTTGTCATTCTTATATTCTCTGTCGTATGTAATGTCCACGGTCTTGGTGGCTCCGCCACCACCGTCTCTGTAAGCTATGGTACCACCGTCACCGTCTGCGGCATCGTCGCTGGTCAACCGAGTCAACGGATTCAATGCTGGCGTGATGGACAAGTGTTTGATGTATTCTCCAATATCTCTTTTGAGTCCATCGCCGGTGGTCGTGATGTGTTTTGCGGCGTTAGGTCCGGCGGTTCAAGTCTTGTCTGTTGGAACCCTAGCTTGACTCCAAAGCGTCTTTACTACAACGAAACGGTACTGTTGCGTCAGTTAACTATCGGTGACGGTCAAATTTGCGGGATTACGAATAGTTCTGGATTGAACGTCGAATGTTGGAGGAGCCGCGACGAGCTATCAATTCAAAATCGTCAGTTCCAATCGATTTCATCAGGACTAGGGTTTACTTGTGGTGTTGTGGCGAACAACGCCGATGAGATCCTCTGTTTTGGAACAAATTCAGAACTGGCGAGGGATATTCAAGGTAACTTTACGGATTTTCGCATGCTAAATGTTGCTGTAGGCGGTAATCATGCCTGTGGAGTAAATTCTACTGGTTTCTTGATTTGTAGAGGTCACAACGATTATGGACAGATTAATGTACCAAAACATTCACCGTTCGAATTTTCTGCACTCGCCCTTGGATCGAATCATACTTGTGCCTTGCGAAAAATGAATAGTCATGTAGTTTGTTGGGGTGGTGGAGGAGGGATTTTGAGCGATTATGCTGTTGGGGTTTCGTTTGAATCTATTGTTGCTGGATTGGATTTCACTTGTGGATTGACAACCAATAACCTCTCTGTAATTTGTTGGGGAGAAGGATGGGTTAGAAATAGTTCGTATCCATTGGGATTCGAACTTCCATTGAGAACAATTCTTCCAGGTCCATGTGTTTTATCCGATTGTGATTGTGGCATCTATACTCAGTCTGCAATTCTTTGTTCTGGTTCTGGTTCAATATGTAAGCCTTGTGATATATCAAGTTTGTCAATACCATCGCCACCACCCTCTGGAGGTGCTAATGTGCCACAATCTAGTTCACCTTCAAGACCTTTGAGAAGAGGGTTATTGGCATTTGCAATAGTTGGATCAATTGGGGCTTTTGCAGGCATATGTACTATACTTTATTGTTTGTGGACTGGTGTTTGTTGTGGGAATAAAAAGATACACAATTCTGTTCAACCTACAATCACAGGTTCTACGCACAATGCTCCACAGTTATCAAACAGCAGTCCAATTTCGAGATCATCTACAATCAGGCGCCAAGCGTCAAGAGCTTTCAGGCGACAAAGAAGTGGAACTTCTTCAAAACATGCTGATAGGGAAGAGGAGTTTACTTTCGCTGATCTAGCTTTAGCAACTGACAATTTTTCCCAGAATAATAAAATAGGTGCGGGGAGTTTTGGGATCGTGTACAAAGGCAAGCTGTTAGATGGCCGTGAAGTCGCCATCAAAAGGGGGGAAACGAGTCATAAAACCAAGAAATTTCAAGAGAAAGAAAGTGCGTTTGATTCAGAATTGGCTTTCTTATCTCGGCTTCACCATAAACACTTGGTTAGGCTTGTTGGGTATTGCGAAGAAAGGGAAGAGAAACTGTTGGTTTATGAGTACATGAAAAATGGAGCTCTTTATGATCATTTGCATGATAAGAAAAACACGGAAAAGAGTAGCAGCTTGTTGAACTCTTGGAAAATGCGGATCAAGATTTCTTTAGATGCCGCTAGGGGAATCGAATACCTTCATAACTATGCAGTTCCTCCTATAATTCACAGAGACATCAAATCATCTAACATCTTGCTGGATGCGAATTGGGTTGCTAGGGTTTCTGATTTCGGATTATCTCTAATGGGGCCTGAGTCAGATTCTGAGCACAGACCAACAAAAGCAGCCGGAACAGTTGGGTATATTGATCCAGAGTACTATGGACTAAATGTAGTCACTGCCAAAAGTGATGTTTATGGTCTTGGTGTTGTGCTACTAGAGCTTTTGACAGGAAAGAGAGCAATTTTCAAGAGTGATAATGATAATGGTGGTGCACCTATTAGTCTAGTGGACTTCTCCGTTCCGGCAATCATTACCGGCGACTTGGCAAAGATTCTGGATAAGAGGGTAGGGCCACCAGAGGTGAATGAGGCGGAGGCGGTGGAGCTGATGGCGTACACCGCCATACATTGTGTGAACCTGGAGGGTAGAGAAAGACCAACCATGAGCGACATTGTCGCTAATCTGGAACGAGCCGTGACGCTCTGTGACGACAGTCATGGCAGCATTTCCAGCGGTCAGATTTCGATTGTTTCCGAATGAAAGTTGTATATTTATTGATTTTTCATTATATGGGGGTTTGATTTTGTGGGTATATAATTTGTAAACATTAAAGATTAGGATCTTGTTTCCTTAGTCTTCTAACAAGAGATTACAAAGAGCATTTTGCAACACCTACAACCACAAGGTTTGTGGTGATGATGTTTTTTTTAGTTAGAAAAGTCTTGGTTTTTCATTTTAAGTTTTAGATCCATTGGTTATTAATAGTTTTGAAGTCGAGACTAGATACATATACGAATACAGATACACAAATGCATAGTTGCATACATCTCTATCTTTCATATGTTATTTTTCATTTTTGAGTGAAATATATTGATTTATTAAAATACAAGAAAATCGACTCATCAAAAGACGACATCCAAGTTAGTATAGATTGGTCAAACATGAATAAAGTTGTAGGAAGGTGGAGGGAAGGAGTTTAATTGATAGAAGATATAAATTGACTCGAACAATTCAATGGGTATATGCATACTTGGTCCCATCACATGTTTCAATTCTGGTGTTCCTCACCAAATTCACAAAAATTAAAACCCAATAAAATTCTAGATTTTAGAGACCGTTTACTTGAATGCTTACCCGTTAAGCATTTATCGTTAGAAGTCAACATTGTAATTTATTTTATCGGTAAGATTGTAGTATATCAAAATGGTATCGTATACAATATTTACCCGGTAAGCGCTTATCTGGATAAGAGTCGTCACTCTCACTTACCGAATAAAACTCTTCATTTTTATCATTGTATTTACCGGGTAAATTTTTTGACTCTTGTCATGTTTATCCGGTAAGGAAAATTACTCAGTTAACACTTACCGAGTAAATGTTTAGTAAACGGCCTTTTAGTTTTCGTTTCGTTCGTTTGTTTCTGTTAAAGAACTTTGTGCTTGTTTTAATATCTTTATGTATTATCTGTTGGTTTTTTCTACATCTTATTAAAAAAGAAACCAATATGTATATTAATTATTTTTGTAATTTATGGGAAATTTAAACGCTCAATTATCATTTTTTTGAATATAAAATAATAAATAATAATACATAAATGGAATGTTGATTAATGTGCATTTACTTCGGACGGTGGTGGCTTTTTCTCTAATTTCCAAAATTTATTATCAACTGGCTTACATTTATAAGTAATTATGATTATGATTTATTAAATTTAAATTTTTTAAAATAAAATATGATAATATCTTTTATTATGTCAAATGATGGCATTAAATAGGGAGGGACAGGGGCCAATAAAAGGTTTACATCGGAAGTTATGGCCGGTGGCCAGAGTTTCCGTTACTTTAATTCAAGTAATATCTAAAAACCAAAATTTGGATGGTTGTTTTTGTTTTAATTATATTCTGTGTAAAATAATGAATTTATTTAAAACAATAATCAAAAGTTATATAAAAGATGTGTTTTGGAGTTTAGTATAATACCATGTGACTATGATAAACGCGTTTAATGTTATTGTTGTGGACAAACTCATCTTAAAATATTTAAAATAGACTTCATGATTAATTAAAAAGTTGATTCTTGTGGTTTATCGAAAATAACACCATTTATTTTTACATTTTTTTGAAATTATAAGATGATCATCGTGGTTTGTGAAAATGTTTGAATTTGGTCATTCCCTTTAACAATCTTTAAAAGATTTCCTTAATGAAGGGTTGTTTTATCTTCTTACCTGTTTTTATCTTTTACCCAATCAAAATCTACAGTGACCAAAATCATAAGATTGATTTGGATTGAGTAAAAGTAAAAAAATTGATAAAAGTAAATGTCTCTCATTTAATTAAATTTAACAATCATTAAAAGGAAGAATCAAATTTGGACATTTTTACAAACCATGATAGACTAGTTGTGAACCCGCGTAATGCGGCGGGAGCCATGAATTTTAACGATTTTGAAGTTCCACTGGTTTTATAAGATAAAATTTAACGATGATATAGGTTATACTTGGTCTTTATATATTAATACAATTTGAATAAATAAGAGTTATGGTTCCAATTACAGACTATCGATGAAAAAAATTGTATAACAGTTTAAAATCCAATATATTTAAAATCCAACATATTTAAACGACTCCACAAATGTATTCGATTTACACCAAGAGCAAAGAACCAAGAAACTTGAGTTTTAAGATAAACACTCAAAATCAATAAAGAAAACTATAAATTTGACATATCATAAGCCATGAAAAGACAAAAAAAGATGAGTTTTAGAATGAAATTTTAACTACTTACCCTCTTTCTTGTCCAGAAACTCAGATTAAGGTTGAATTAATACATGTATATATATATATATATTTCAAAAAAAACCCTAGAACATATTAATTCAAAACATACTATGCAGTGCAATTTGAACAGCCTAACCCCAAAATATATAGTATATATATAAATAAATAACTATAAAAGTATAAATCGTAAATATTAAAAATATTTTTTCACAGTATATATAATATATAATAATATAATTAAGTCAGAAACTATTCAATATTGGACTCATTTCGGAGGTATTGACGAGACGATTATAATGGTGTAACTTGTTAAAATAAAAATATATTTTTTAAACATGTTTTAATTGATATACGATTATGTATGATAATTTGATAAAGGTTTAAAATGAAACATTTAAAAGTAAAGGACGTAAAGTAAATTAATTAATTAATTATAGGGATATAAAGTATAAATTTAAAATTCCAATTTAAAAAAAATCGGTTGTGAGAGAGTGAGTGTATGTGAGGGGGTGGGTGTATGTGAAGAGATGAGGGGGTGAAAAAGTGAAAAAGTAAATATAAAAGGTATTTTGGTCATTTAAAATTTTAAGACTTTAAGACTTTTACTAAATTTTCTTAATAAGATAGTATAGATATCTTGTAAGGACGAAAATTTACAAACCACAAGGGACCAAATTGGTAGTTTACTCTACATTTAACCGATATAATATAATTTGCTACAAAAGAATTTGTATTGAATCATCATAATTTCGTGAATCAACAATTTTTAAACTGAAAATGAAAAAAATTGAAATTATTAAATATGAAAAATAAAAAGCACGCGCACAATGTGAGATGAAATGCATAAAAGCGTGTGATTGTATTCAAAATTGCCGCCGGTACACGTGTGGAGTTATTGAAGTCTCGCGGCCTCGTTGCGTGATTCACAAGGCGACGCCGCACGCTCCACCACTCTATTTCCTCGGCGGTCATCTTCTACTTACTATTTACTATTTACTAATAAATAATAGTAATGGATATAATATTATATGAATATATGAGGTGAATTCAATGACTTTGAATGGTAGATGAAGCTTCATTTTGGTCAAATTTCAATGGAAAAATATATTGTTTCCATATTTTTATCATTCTCTACCCAACATACATATATTAATTAGGGAAAAGTCTAAAAATATTCAATAAACTTTATTATTTAAAATGACTAAGTCTTTTGATAATTTTTTGTAATAAATAAGTTTTTGGATATTTTAAAACATATTAAATAACTTTTTGAATTTTTAAAACATATTAGATACATTCTTATGACCTATATAACTGGTTAATGTGGTAAAATAATAAAAAAATCTGGAAAAAAAAACTATTAGACATTTATGTTTTGAAGGATTAAGTCCCCAAACATTTTTTTTGAACCAAAAGAGTACATAGATCTATAAAATGAAACAAATATACCAAAAATTTACTTATATTAAAAAAATATTTTTGATAAAATTTATTTTAATTAAAATAAATTATATTTTGTCAGTGATTTCTCAAGTCAAAAAAAGATTTAAAAAGGATTACCGAATACATTTATTCTGATTAAAAATAAAATATATCTCGTATGTGATTTTTCAAATTAAAAAAAATAAAAAATTACTGATGAAATTTATTTTAATTACAAATGTAAAATAATCAGTTTTAAATATTTCTTTTTTTAATTTGAGAAATCATACACAAAATATATTTTGTTTTTAATTAAAACTAAATATAATCAGTAACCCTTTTTAATTTGAAAAAGCACTAACATTATATTTTTTTTATTTTTAATTAAAATAAATTTCGATAAATAATCTTTTTTGAATATAAGTACTTTTTTGATATATTTGTTTCATTTTATATATTTAAGTATTTTTTTGGTTCAAAAAATATTTAGAAACTTAATTGCTCAAAATATGAAAGTCCATTGGGTTTTTTTTCAGTCTTTCTAACAGGTTTTAAAAAGTCCAAGAAGTTATTCAACAAGTTTTAAAATGTCCAGAGACTTATTTGTTCCAAAAAATTATATAAACACTTGATTATTTCAAACACTAAAGTCCATTGAGGTTTTTTAGACTTTTCCCCACTAATAATATATAAGGAATATGAACCACGATCACCAATTTTAAATAAAATTAAATTAAATGGAAACGATGATATCAATAAATTTGCAAGATTTGTTGGTTAGAAATGTCAAACAACCATGTTACGGTTGAACAAGACATGGCTTTTTACTTGTAATCTTGTAACAGTTAATAAAATGCATTAGATGTTAATAATGATCAACCATCGTTAAAATGGTATCCAAAGACGACAATTAAGGTAAAATTTGCGGAAAAAAAGGTTGCTTTTCATGGCTTGATATATCCTTGCAGAGCACAATCATCTATGAGTAGGATGGACTTGTTGGCTCTGATACCATGTGAAAATATATAAAACCTCCAATTTGTTCTCCAAAAGAACACCTAAAAGAGAGAAGGAAAGTACCAACATATATGGAAAGAAGTAATTCAAGTTTAGCCGATACCAGATCCAATTCATCTACCTTATTGTAACAAAACCAATGCTTCTAGAGGATCTTTCATGATTGATTATTTCAAGCATAGCTGCAGAATCTTTATGAATAAACAAAACAAAACATACACTAAAAAAGTACAGATTTTTCAAGGGTTGGCCACTTGCTTTTGTAATTTGCCAACTAACTACTACCTTCCCTCCCACCACCTATTATCTCATCTAGGATTCCATCAAGAATTCCAGGTTTACATTCTTGGATATCTCTTTCTTTCTCTTTGTGCTTCAATTTCATTCATCCAATCATTAACCCATAAGAGCCCTTTGTAACCATAATATGCCACTGCTATCAAACTCGCAACAATCACCAACACCACCAATAGTTTCCGAAGAAACTCCATAATTTTCTGTTCATTATTAGAAAAGGCAAGCGTGAGCCAGAAAGCAAATGGACTGCTAAAACTTGTATCTGTATCTTCTTACCCGAAGTCCAAACCAAAACCAACCCCGTATATCCCACTCATAGGTGGGGTCCAGGGGGTTAGGGGGTTGGGATGTACACCTGGCCTCTATTCCAAAGAGTAGGGCAGTTGTTTCCATGAAAACCTTAAAAGTTGTATGTTATCAGTAGGACAAATGAACCTGGAATGTTGAGACTTGGTGGTCTTGGTGGACTTTGTCTTTCCTTCTTTTACGCTTTCTTGCATGATTTTCCACATCGGGTTCCTTTTTCTGAGAAATTAGTAGGAAAATTACAAGGGGATTAGGCTTGAATTGAATGGTACTTTTTCTTTCGCTTTCTTTTTAAAAGGATAAAGAAATAGATTGTCTGACTGACCTCAGGAGCCTTAGATTTCCGAAGGTGCAAGTCTGTATCATCAACTTTGACTTTACTTTTGCAATCCGAGTTGCACGAAAGAAGTCCAAGACCAAATTGATTTTTAGATATATCTTTTGGATCACGGCCACTACTGTGATACGCTGCTTGAACTTGTTGGCATGCCCACTCTTTTTTCAAGGTTTGGCATCCACATCTGACCACAACCTGTTAAAGAAGGAGGGACAAGGATCAAGCAGGGTATAGCATTCACAGTTGATAGCAGAAACCAGTTTCTTTATTGCTATTTTAAGATGGTTCTCAAGTCAGAAGTGAAAACCATCAATAGACATAGAAAATAATCAGTTCAGGCGAATACAAGGGAATAAAAGAAGGTAGAAATAGAACCAAAGAAATATGATGAAAAATGAAATGTATAGCAATGCAAACTATCTAAATAAATCAATGGAATTGGAATGTGAGCAAGACATTCAACTTATGGGCTGTTCACCAACACAAATTGGGTAAGTGCTGACGGAAAATGGTTGTTTACCATGGAAAGCGACGACTAAAAATGTTTGTCTACCGAAGTACTGACCGAGTCAGAAAGCAACCCCATCTCAATCAGCATATTTGTGGGTCAGAGTGTGTGACGACATCCATCCTTACCGGGTAAGCACCTCTTACCCAGTATGAGGTGGTCAGTAGGTAGTAAACAACCCCTTAGTGATGACACCAGGAAAATTTGGGGATACAATACAACCCAGAGTAATAGTAACAGGAACAATGATTTTGGGGTTAAAAAGTTGGTACTACCTTTTTGGAGCATTTTTCAGGTGATGAGCAATGACCAGGATGACATATCTCTGGACACAGATGTGTGCAGTTGGGTAGTTTTCTGCACAAACAAACAACAAGGGAATAATGAAGTTTATTCTCGATTAATTGTCTAAATAGCCAAAAAACAGCTGAATTGAAAGGCTACCTGTGGCAGGGTCCTCCACATGAACGGACAGCTATCTGCTCCTTTTCAGACAAGCTGTTGTAATATAAGCACTCAAAAACATGAACCATAGCACCACAATGACATGATCGCTTTATTAGCACCTTGCAAGGGGGGCATTCTCCAGGATGACAGCGCAGGGGACAGGGATGTGGACACATAGGTTTTCTCTCCTGAATAACGACAAATGGGCAATTCAAAAAATTTATAAGAAAACGGACATTTCCTCAGATGTGAAGTACAGAAAAGGGGGAAAAGTTTGGTCCAAAAAAAGAATAGCCTAACCTCTTGGCAACGTAGATTACACTCCTCACATTGCTCGCCTTTTTCATACCGACCTGATCCGGGAATCTTGAGGGCATGGCAGGTTTTAGTGCAAAAATGATTGCCACATGGCAGAAGGTTTCCACAATAATTATCACAAGAAAATTTTGCTTTATTTGAGCAAACCATCTGCATGAAAACCATTAAAAAGTTTTATCTTTTTTCAGAACAAATAATATCAAGGGATTCAAATGAGTGATTAAGTCGAAATGTTCTATTTGCAATGGAATTTTGCACCTACCATCTTCTCAGCTCCAACATGTTCACCAACACATGACCTCCAAACAAGTTCTGGGCAAGGTGGGCATACAGAACCAGGAGTACTTTCAATCGGAAGATTTGGCTTCTTTTTCTTTGGTCGCAATGTGAACTCAGGATTAGGAGGAGGAATAGGACCATGGCACCTTCATTTCCCATATATATACATGATTATTTTCCTCTCGAAACAGATGTACACGTGATAAAGTAACCAGCAAAATGCTAAATAAGTGAAAAACAAAAAGAACAAAAAGGATTTCAAACCTTAGTTTACATTTATGCCCACAAGGATAGTCTTCATCGCAAACCAGCCGACATGGTGGGCAGGCTCCATAATGGCACTTATGTGGCTGGAGAAATATAAAAACACGTATCGTTAGTACAATGTAGCCTAAAAGTTTGTGCATAAGGGTTTGTAACCAACAACCCTCAAGCGGGTTCGCAGCATCAGGTACACAACGGCCCTCTAGGTGGATGGCTACCGACTACCGAGCCTAGTGCCCACAAGGAGTCCAATCCCCAAATGAATTGTAACTCCAATACTGTGACAACCAGACTTCAAGACTTAGACTTGCCTGTTTGTGCAAATATACCACCCCGAAAACAAACTGTGATACACCGTGGGGGTAGCCTAAAAGTTAAAGCATAGCAAATTACTCCTAACAAATAGGTTGTCTTGTTCAACTGGAGTGAATAGACCGGATTATGTGGAACACAGATATATCAACGTTAAAACAGCATTATCCTTTGAAAAGTAGGGTTTAAACCCACAGCTAGTTTGCATAACTGACCAAATAGTGAAAGCAATCCAGTAAGCAGTTAGTTACCTTGGTAATTGACTTATGCCTGCATAAAGGATTTATACGACACCGTTTCGAGCATTTAGGAGGTTTCTGCTCCTTTTCAGTACCACAAGGAACCTAACACATGTTCCATGAACAATTAATTACATTCAAACTATAGAAACAACATCACCATATATATATATATATATATATATATATATATATATATATCATTGGCCTTGTAGAGAAAGCTTAAAGACTTGAATAATCTTGAACTAGTTCAAGAATCCATACAACTTAATTCTCACCTCAAAGTGTGTTTCACCGCAAAAACATGAAATAGTCACCATTACTGGACATGGAGCACAAGCACCTCTAAAAGAATGAAAATAAGTCAATCATACTATAATGGCTTGATTTCCTACTTAACATATAAGAAGGGATTAAAAAACCAGAATAGAAATTCGTAATCGTGACAAAATAACTACCAAGCAATCTTTGAATATATGATGCATCTTCATATGCAAAAACTCTAAATTATCGAGAGAACACAAGCTACCTGTGGCAAGGAGATGGGCATTTGTGATTCCTGCATCTTAGCTTCTTGTCACATATCTGATATTACCAGAATTTAAAAACACCTCCACGAATACCATCAAGAAAACTATCAAAAAGAGACTGCTATCGGAAGGCATACCTCTGAACAAGGAGGACAATCACCATCACAACACCGCCGCTTGCAAGCATGGCGTCCACAATCCCGCACTCGCTGGCATTTCCTTTCACATACTACATCTTGATAACAAGGGACCTATTCTAAATTCAATTTATATCCTCTACAGAATAAGCATACATACTTAAGTTCAAAAGGCAATAAAAAGCAATCAACTTTTTACCTGTTTCTTCAAGCTCCCACATTTGCAAGATTTTGTGATAACAATTCTACAAGTTTCAACACAAGGCCCACGGTGACACCTCTCTGGACACCGATGAATTCCGCATATCAGCTTCTTATCGCAGGTCCCACCACACGATGGCACTACAACATCACAAGCCATACCTTCATAAATTCGCTTCCCGCAAGGGCATGTACGTTTCCCCTGTAATGGGCAATCCCCACATTCTCCTTCATGACACCCTTTGCTACAAACATGTTTCCCACATCCAAGCAGTTTCTCACATGGGGTCTCACACCTAAAGTCCCTCTGGAAACACTCTCTTTTCTCTTGAACCTTACCGCAATGACACTTGTAAACTCCCTCCGCCCTGCACGGTGGGCAATCTCCGTCATGGCATATCTCAAGACAGCAATGTGCCTTACAATCTAATAACTTGGAGCAAGTTTTGTTACATGAGAATTCCTTAAATCCGCAGCGTTTGATATCTTGGACGCCCCCACAGAAGCAACGCGATTTAATGAGCTTGGGGCAGGCCGGACAAGGTCCTGGGTGGCAGAGAAGCAAACATTTGTGCCCACAATCATATTTTAACGACCGATTACATATTTCTCCGCAAGAATGAGGCAAAATCCAGGGATCGTGAGGAGGGTTTTCAACTTTACCACAGAAACAAGTGTAGGTTTTAGGGATCAGGGTTTTGGGGAACTCAATACGACACTTAGGGCAGTTCCAAGTGGAATTGCGATCATCTGCACCTCGAGAGGCGGCGCGTAGGGAAGAAAGATCGGAGGATTGGCGAGCCCATGACTGGATGCAGAGAAGATGGAAAACAGCAAAGCAACGGGATGAGCAGGACCAAGTGGGATCTGAGGGACGAATGCGTTCGAGGCATATGAGACATGATAGTGCGCCGGAGCGTGATGAGGTCAAGAATGATCGGATTTTAGTGAGGTCCGGAGATTCAAGACCGGAAATCTCGATATAGGATCTGAAGATTGTGTTGGAAAAATCGGTGTGGTGCTGGGGTTTGGGGGTGGTTGAGGTGGAATCTGAGTCGGAAGAGTCGGAATCGGAAGGATGAGAGGGTGGCGGACGGTGGGGTACGGTTGATGTCATCTTGGTGTTGTGGAGAAAGAGCGATCTATGATTTTGGTGGGCATCTTTTATGATTCTTGATTCGAACTATCCAATTTCGAACCGGCCCGTTTCATATCATGAGACTCTAATTTAAGCTTCATGACTCATTAGCTTTGCAAAAATCGAACCCATTTATATATTATACAAATAAAAATTATACTACAAAGTTATATTACAGATGTTCGGATGTATGTTTTGAAAGTGATTATATTTTGTACACTGATCGAATACTTTACAAAAGATTCGACGAGTGTTTGTTTATTCAAAGACGAAGCGGACAAGAAGCTTTACAGATGCAAATTTCTCTCCTTTCTTGTTATGTAATGAAATGGATCGGATCCCGGATCTCAATTCGGAGACGGGCAAACACGTTTGACCACCGAAGGCGTCCTTCTCTGACGCATCATGTTCTCGCACAACGATCTTTAGTAAAGCCAGCTCAGGGACTCTCAACGGGAATGTAAACTCTTCATCCCATACGGGCATCCAATCGTCTTCGATCACTCTGGTTTTTTTCTTGGTAACGTCGGCTGGCACTCCGACCATATACAGCTGCAAGTCTAAGATATTATTATCTGATACGGTCCCGTGCCTTGGAAGCATTGAACTCGAGAGAGGTTCAAGATTTTGAGGTCAAATTTAACAAACAATTTGTCAAAAGAAAAGAGATGATTCTTCAAGTTTTCAAGAAAGTTTATAGCCCATTAACTTTGTTAAAAGTTTATAATAGTTTAGAAAAAGAAGTGTTGTTAACTTTTAAACAAGATTATTACCATATACAAGTTCTGAAAGTGATAGCTTTGACCTCAAAAGTCAAAGGGAAACTTCTTTTCACAATGCGGTTGGGTGGCAATTGCTTTAGTCGGTTATTTGGAGCTTACATAAAAAACTAACCTTAGTGTAAAAGTCAGGTGGTGAGAATGTATCAAAATGAGTCCGGCTAAAATCCATACGCCACCCGTCACCCATGTATACTTTCACCTGAAAAGTTACAGTGGCTTATATTCACTACAGTCTGCATACATCTTACCCTCAGACCCTATCTCTGTGTGGGATATACTGGTTTTTTTGGTTTGTGTCATGAAATGAAACTCAAAACGAAAGATAGAAAAGCTTTGCTGACCCTCAAAGTTTTCTTCACTAGTAGTGTTGTTTTTGGATCGAACACCTCATTATTTGGACCCCTACTCATTAGAAACTCGGGTTTCTTAACATAACCACACCCTCCATTGGATCGAAACATTCCATGCATCATCCAAAGCGATCTGCCATACCCCTATTTACGAAGAAATGTGTTAGTAGCGGATCTTTATATAAAACAAGGAAGTTAAAAGAAATGAGAAGCTCACTTGCATATTGAACGCGACCATTTGAGCGCCATGCATCCATGCAGTGAGTGGTCTGAAATTCGTTGAGGTAACCCGTGATCCCTTTGGGAAAACTCTAAGAATGTTCTTTTGAGTAAACCTAAAAGGAACATATCCTTCTTTAGAAACTTAAAGATTATGTTATTGTTCACCAAGATTCTAGAAAAGGGAACTTTAGTGGCTACCTGATTATATTAGTTCCGTAGAGAGATGCAGCTCTTTCAAGAGCTTGTTCACTCAAACTAAGACGTTTACCTTTGCCTAATCCAACCATTAACGCCTTCCTTAATCCATTCTTTGCTTTACCAGAATGAATTCCAATGAGTTGGTTGTACACAGGAGCCGCTTTCTGATCAGGTTTCTCATTTTCAACATCTTCATCTTCATCTTCATCTTCATCATCATCATCATCATCATCATCATCCTCATCCTGATTACTGCTGATCTGCCATTACGAACCGAATTGAACGAAAAATCCATTTCTTTGGAAAGAATGAGAGATAAAATGAACTTTTAACTGGTTAACTCACCCTTTCATCAGTTGCTGTTCCAGTTTTAAAGCTGGATGGTGCATCTTCCCCCACAAACAACTCTACTTCAAATAAGTCTTTGCCGACTATTGGTGAGCTCTCTCCTCCCATTTGCTTAGATTCGAGGTACTCTTTTGGCAGTTTTGTTGAAAGAATGACACGATGCTTTAATGCTTCAGGCGAAAGGAATTCATCGCTACCTCCTGCCTTTGGGCAGTAAAGCATATCTCCAAAAATTTCAGTCACCATCTAAAATCCATAACAATCTGTAAGTATCAACTATAGAACTTCATACAGATATAACAAAGAAGAAAGCTAACCCCTGCAGCTTTAGCCTGAAGATTTCGTGTAAGATGATCCTCTAAGGTGATGATTACTGGATAAGGAGAATTCACAAAAGCATACTCTTTAATGGACTTCAAACATTTGTAAAGTGTTACCGGCATTGTCAGAGTCCTATTATCATTTGCATTTTCAATCACTAAACCAAACTTCAAAACATAGATATTTAAAAATTGTTCGCATAACAGAAAGTAAAGAAATGTAATACCTCCCGTGAAGAACATGTATTCCGTCTTTTGCACTATTTGGCCATAAATCTAGCTCGATTACCCTCACACCTCTTTGAAGAGCTGTTATAATTGGCACTACACTAGAATCACTGTTGAGCTGATTTCCTGTAAGGTATGAATTGTGGCCTGTATAAATGAAATAATGTTGCAATGGTGCAGTCATATCATGGTGTACCTGAAATGAACATCCTTCAAATACTTGGGTTTGATTTGAACTAAAAAACTATCAACAACAACAAAACAGAAGCATTTAAGCAAGCATCATGAGTGCATTACAGATAAACTTTTATACTACATTATACAAACATCAAGATTGATCATTCATGGCTACCAATGCCCCACCTTTTTCTTCTTTTGAAGTTCATATTAAGCAAAACGCTACCAAGATTCAGAACAAATAATCATCTCTGTACCCAATCCTAAAAAACCCTAAATGCAGTGAACTGGATAACATGAGATACAAATGGGAAAACGGTTAGACCTTGAGTTTTTCACAAACCTGAGATATGATGGGGCCATTGAGGTCATCAAGAAACAGGTATGTGAAGAACTCATCAAGAGTGAAAGAGCAACGATTGAAGTTAGGTCGGATAAGGTGCAGCGCTTGCTCCATTTGCCGCTGTGCATCATCGATGGTAACCCCTGATTCTCCCTGAAACTCGATCAAGAACCGTCGAAACTGATTCGGAGACATCTGTGACTCCCCGTTGGTGCACAAACTGAAGAAGTCAACCACGTCCGGCGGTGGCTTCCGTTCAGTAATCTTGAACTTCCGATTAAAGCCGAAGAAATTGTAGGAATCATAACCCGCCTTCATTCTTCTACTTCTTTTTCTTTCTCGTATTGTTGTTGCTCTTGTCCAATCCCTTTTCTCCCCACAGTTTTACATATACCATGATACCATGTATCTATCACAATCGACTTGTTCGTGAAGAACATGAAATTTATTATAAATAAAAAAAGAATAGAAAAGAAAATTGAATTGAGTTGGGTTGGGTTGTTCTACTTGAGACGCCAAGAAAAAGTGAGGTGATAGAGATGGATCGTTGAGGATACCGGAACTTTTTTGAGGATCTACAACTTCAGGATTCATCTTCATTAATAAAGACTTTAATATTTGGTCTTTTGTCGACTTATTTTTTTGGAATTGGGGAGTCTTAATGGCATCCTTGATGAATGTCAATTTTTAAGATCTATAAAATATTAAATTGATTTAATAATATTAGAAGGATATTTGTATAATGTAACGAGTTATATTTTGATTTTAATATTTTCTTTTTTTTTTCAGTCGGTGTTATAATACGGTTTTATGTGATTTTGAAAAAACGATAATGTTTTTATTTTTAAATAATATATAAATATGAAAATTTCATAAAAAATTAAAAAATATATATTGATTTCATATCAAACTAATTATTTAAAATTTCTCATTTTTATATATTTCTTTAATTTATTTTTTTATTTTTAGTTTGATAATATCACTTTCTATAAAAATAATAATTAAGTATTTTGTTAGACATCAATTATTATTCTAAATGTATTTTAGATTTTTTATATTTAAAATAAGACGTTTATCAACTATTTGATAATGTTTATTTGCAGTTAGCTATACAAATTCAAGCATGAAGCTTTAATAAGTTGTACATACACACAATTTACTTGTAATCATTAAGTTTAAGTAACATGCATCAATAAACAATATTTCATACATAAAAATGATTTTTAAAAGCTTTTGTCAAATTCTTTATAATATAATATTAAGTTATATTATATAATTTTATATATACTCTTTATGTATATTTTACACATATTATATATATGTGTGTGTGTGTTTTTTATTATTATGTATTAATATTAAAATCTTATCGAAATTATTTTAAAAAATTAAAATAGTTTAATTCAAAAATTAATTTTATGATTAATTATTTATTTTAATGGATGAGCGATTTATAAAAACCATTTGTATTGAATTTTAATAAATAAAAAGTTCAGAAAATTAAAGAAACTGTTCCATTTTGAATTATTAAGTTTTTGAAATTTTTTTGGTTAAATAAGTTGTTGAACTTTTTTCTGTGGAAGGATTAAGTCGTTGCATTTTTTTTTGAATAATTAAATGATTGAGTTTTTTAAAAATTGGTTACTTAAATTATTTTAACTTAAAAAAATACTTGTATTGTTGTAAAATAGGAAGAATAAAAAAAAATTGATCATTTTTTGGGAATCTGCTATTAATATCCTTCTTTTTGACCATTTTTTATATATATCATTATATTGTTGTAGAAGAGAGAGAATCAAAAGATAAAAAACATATAAAAAGAGGAAGACCCCTTAGACGTAGTTGTTCGAACGCGTCAACATTTGTTAACTTAGATGAAATGAGTTATTAGAAACTAGCGAGACGGTTATTTTAAAATAAGTGAAATATAATATAAATTATTTTATATTTTTTTTTCTGCTTTTTATGTTTTATTTATATCTCAAATCTCAATGTTTATGTTTGATTTTTATAATTATATAATTACTAGAAAAAAGTAGTAATATCTATATAAAAGTAAAAATATAAAAGGGAAAAAAAACCTTAACGTAAATGTGTATTTTATTTATTATTAATATTTATATTTTTCAAATAATATGATTAAATATTATAAAATACATTATTAAAATATGACATTATATACTATACAAAAATATAATATAAAATGGAAAAGAAAAAAAAACTTAACGTATATGTAAAAATATTTTATTCATTATTAATACTAGAAGGATACTTACGCAATGCAGCGAGATATTTGTTTTTTTGTCTTAGTCGATATTATAATACGGTTTTATGTGGTTTTGAGACGGCGATACTGTTTTTATTTTTGAATAAAATATAATTATGAAAATATTATAAAAAATATTGATATTAGTATCAAACTAATATTTAAATTTTTTCCTTTTTTTGTGTATTTCTTTAATTCATTCTTTATTTTTGGTTTAATAATATATTTTTTATAAAAATAATAATTAAGTA